CGTAAATTATGATGCAGCATGAACGTTATATTTGGTAATAATTATTATCACTGTGTGGATGTGAGGCTGGTGGTCTGGTTCTACTGCATCTTTGCTTGTCTGAACTTGGCGCACCCATATCTTCAACCATATCTCCTTCAGGTGATCGACGAGTAAACACCACATGTAGGGTAGCTGTTGCAGTGTTGCGTCCATTTACAGGTTTGCATCGGCAAGAAAGTTGTCATGCCGTTTTCTCCCTGCCCTTCACGAGGACAGGAAGTTGAGACAAGTCTTAAACAGGGGATGCAATTATCCATGAGCCAGTAAATGGGTCTCTTATTGTATGGCCGATCAGATCTTTGAATTTCATCAAACATGTGCCCTCCTTTGTACTAGTTCTAGAAATCAACATGGAAATTTTTCAACATGATGTAAAATTAGAAGAATGCGAGCGAACAAATTTCGGGCACGGTCATAGTCAAGATCGCGGCTTGCTCTTGGCGCATCCATCTAGCTACTCCACCCATGGTACAAGACGCTAAAAAGCTACACAGTCGATATGATGGTGTATATTCCCCGGTTTCATTCATTCATTCCCGGTATCCTTGCTGTTACTGTCACATGTTTCTTCTTCCCCCCTCAACAAATCCATCCTACATAACGAGATGATGAAACGGCACCGCCTTGCGGCGCGGCGGTGCATCGATCGACGGACGACGGCGGGCGATCACTACTCGGAGCCGTCTGGTTGTTGCTGCTTCTGGTCGCCGAAGATGCGGGTGCGGAAGTCCTGGACCATGAGCGGGAGGCCGTTGCGGAGCGCCACCTTGGGCTCCCACCCGAGCAGCTCCTTGGCCTTGGTGATGTCCGGCTTGCGCTTGTGCGGGTCGTCGGCGGTGTTGGCCCGGAACTCGATGCGCGCGTTGGGGTCGATGGTGTCCTGCACCACCTTTGCCAGCTCCAGCATGGTGAACTCCCCCGGGTTCCCCAGGTTGAAGGGCCCCACGTGCTCCCCCTCCATCAGCTTCATCAGACCCTCAACCTGCACCACCAAGACATGTATCAGACACCAAACACTTCCTTGATAAAACCACAAGGTTCACCAGTGGCGGAGCCAGGATTTCCGACATGGGTGAACCTCCATGGATGCCATGACACCGAGGTACCAATCTGGCAAGGACGTGACACGACACTCTTGGTGGATGGAACAGTGGTGGATCGTGGTTACGTTCAACGACAAAGTGGCTCGATCATGCTGCTCCCGGGAGCCACAAAGGGTGATGGAAAGCTACTCAGCAGATGTTGCATGCCGTGTCCATCGGCAGCAACAGTGCACCAACCAGTTTGGAAACACCTGCACCTGCGTGCGTGCGTGGTCCAGATCGACGTGTACGGTGCACCATCTGCCTCGACCGTCCGTTAACGACCCTTCGTTCGTGCAGTTTCATCTACATTAGTACATTGCTTCCCGTCGAAGCAGCAACGTACGGTACGGGAGAGAGAGACCACACTAGCTAGGCAGCACGACGATGCAAATGCAAGAGGTCCACAGCCTCGGCAGGGTGGTCCAAAACGCTAGCACAACTCGGCGACTCTGTACTTGAGTAGGCAGGCAGCAGCGCCAAATGGAAAATGGTTGGGACTTGGACCACCCCGACCTAATCGACGTAGCAGCGCCACGGCCGCGTGCCGTTGTGAGCACGGACGACTGCAACAGCACCCACGTACGCATTCGCGTCTCTGGACTGGAGACGCCAACGTGTGTAGCATTGGCATGGCAGCAACGGCTCAGCATTATATCTCAGCAAAAGGAGAGGGAAAAGGAGGTTGCATTGCAAAGCAAAACTATGCTACCATACCATGGTCGAGCACATGGAAACCAACTGCAACTAAATTAGCTTAGCTTCAGCTGCACGGTCGATGAACCAACCGATTAATGAAAGCCGTGCTGCTGTTGGGAGCTTGTAATGGAAGGGAAAAGCATGCGGCGGAGCCACCAGCAAGGGAACGTACGTGCGTGTGCACGTATGAGTCTTGACTTGTGGCGGTGTGTGTTGATGAGAGGGAGAGCTTACCAGATCGGAGACGTACTGGAAGCTCCTCGTCTGCTTGCCGTCGCCGTACACCGTCAAGGGCTCCTTCCTCAGCGCCTGCACCAATCAATCATAAATCAACCCAGTGTCACCATGCACCAATCAATCGTAAATCAACCCAGTGTCACCATTAGCAGTCGTTAACATCGCACACGTACACCCCGTGCATATACATACATACACCGATGCTACCTACGCCCATCAACTGATCGATCAACTGCATGCCTCAGGACAAACCGTGCCATGTCTATGCGCTTTCGCAGGCTAAGCATCACCAGTTCTTCATCTAGCCGTGTGTGGCTGCTGTGTGACTAGCCTTCCTGCTAATGCTATCATTTCTTCCTCCACACACACACACGTACCTTTCGCGTGTAAAGAATCGTGTCAAGTTCATAATAAAGCAGGTTTTAATTAGGGGGGTGATTCGTGTCAGCTGCTTGGGATTAAGAAAATGAGAGTTGGAACGTGGCGTCCACTTGTCAAAGTTTCCCCATCTAGCTTAATTAATTCCGCGCTGCTTTTGCCACGCACGATAGCACGTGATTTGGACCCTGGGACGAATCAACAAACCAAACACTTGGTCCACTGGTTGTGTGTGTCCCCCCTTAGCAAAAGCCTAGCTAGAGGATAAACGAAGCTGGAAATGATGATTCATGTAGGTAGAAATTTCCTAAACAAAAATCTATGAGTCTAGGCAAGGGGGGAGGGTTTTTGTCTTCCGCGATAAATGACACTCCTAACCAAGAGTGTATATGCGCTACATTATGAAATGGATGAAGTGTCCCTGAAGACTATTTTTGGAGTACGTGTGGTGGTGTGTTGCTCGGTATAGTGATGTCCCGTGTGACCATCTTGCCTTGCGTGACTGTAGTTGACTCCGTTATTTCCGTAAGCTCCATAAGTGGATCTCCATAAGCTCTTAACATGCTACACCCGCAAACCCCCGACACGTGGAACATGATCTAGCAAAGATACCCCCAAGGCCCCAACGGAAAGGGGGAGGGTTTTATGTCTTCGACGATATACGTTATCATAGATGACGACTATTTTTGGAGCATCCGCGGTGGTGTGTTGCTAGGTGCAAAGCCGCCTCGATCGCGTGACGCATCTGGCCTCGCGTGACTGTAATGACTCTATTATTCCTTAACTTGTACACAATCGGATTTTAAAAAATGGTCTGTTTTTGAAGTATAAAAAATGAACAACTAGAAAGAAATTAAACTATATAATGAATTACTAGAAAATAAAATATGGAGTAATAGAATAGTGCATTCCCATACATGTTTTTTAAAAAAAAAAAACTCAGTAGACTTGCATGTGGGGCTGCGGGTTCACCGGCGCGCTAGATGGGAATGGAAGTTTACAAATTACAAGATCGAGGTATCACTAATCAATTCCTATCGTAGATCCAGATCGAAAAAATAATATTAGGTCAGTGCTAGTGGGAGAAGTCTAGCTACGACTAAGCCAAGTAAAGCGAAAAAAAGGAAGTTACGTGGAAGCGTGCATGCTTGTGCATGGGTAATTAGTTACAGTAGTAGTAGTAGGTTATCTTTCTCACCTGAGCGACGAAGTTGCTGACGACCCGGCCGTCGTCGATGCACATGCGCGGACCGTAGGTGTTGAAGATCCGAGCGATCCTCACCTGCCAGCACAAAGATTAGTTACAGTCAGTTAACCAGGCGAAATTACCCCAATTAGCTTGGTTTAACTGCAGCAGTTGCATGATGATCCGATGCTAGCTACTACTAGCTGACATCATAATCTTTTTTTTAGCTTCTAATAATGGAAAGAAAAGGTGTAGAGGATGCTTTCGTTTCCAGCAAAGTCGAGGTTGCCGAGTGAGCGGTGAATGATTAAAGCAGGGCCGGGCACGAACCTCGAGGTTGGCGCCGCGGTGGTAGTCCATGGTCAGTGTCTCCGCCGTCCTCTTGCCCTCGTCGTAGCAACTCCGCACACCTGCACAAATACTTCTGTTCAGAAAGAGGAGAAGACGATGGCAGCATTTCTGTCTTTTTCCCTATCCTGTGTGCTCCCACAGATAGACGAGGACGACGGCAATGGCGGCTCTAGGATAGGATAGACAGAAGAAGAGATGTGATGATGGGCGGAGTGACGTACCGATGGGGTTGACGTTGCCCCAGTAGGTCTCGACCTGGGGGTGCTGGAGGGGGTCGCCGTAGACCTCGCTGGTGCTGGTGAGGAGGAAGCGGGCGCCGACGCGCTTGGCGAGGCCGAGCATGTTGAGCGTGCCCACCACGTTGGTCTTGATGGTCTTGACGGGGTTGAACTTGTAGTGCACGGGGGAGGCCGGGCAGGCGAGGTGGTAGATCTGGTCCACCTCCAGCAGGATCGGCTCCACCACGTCGTGCCGGATCATCTCGAAGTTGGGGTTCCCGGCGTGGTGCGCCACGTTCTCCTTGCGGCCCGTGAAGAAGTTGTCGACGACGATCACGCTGTCCCCGCGCGCCAGCAGCCGGTCCACCAGGTGGCTGCCCACGAACCCGGCCCCGCCGGTCACCACCACGCGCAGGCCCTTGCGCTTCAGCCCCAGCGGCACGCGGCCGTGGCGCACCCCGCCGGTGCCCTCCTCGAACGCCATCCGCCCCGCGCCGCCCGACTGGTACTGCCGCGACACCAGCCCCACTGCCGCCAGGTGCGCCACGCTGCTGCTTGAGGAGGTGGTGGTGGTGGTGGAGGGGGAGAGGAGGAGGAAGACGAGGGTGGCGAGGGCCATGCCGACCAAGGAGAAGACGAGGCGTTGCTCGCCCAGCACGTACCGGAGAGGCTGCGGCAGCTGCTGCCTGGTCCGCGGCTTGCTCTCGGCCGGGCCGTGCGCGCCGTCGGCCGCCGCCGCCTGCTGGCCGCGGTAGGTGAGCTCGGAGGACGCCATTGGCGGATCGCGGGATGGACTTGTCCCTGTGATCTCTCTCTCGGCTCCTGAGCTGGTCTGGTGCGGGAGAAGAGGAGGAGGAGTGGCGCGTATTTGAGGAGGTTGAGGTTAGGTGGGCTCGCCGCGGGCGGCGCGTGGGCCGTGCGATCGGATCGCGGCCGCGGGCTGAGCCGCCCACGTGGCCCCACGATCGGCGCCGTCTCGCGGTAGTCAGTCAGACGCGCCGTAGCCCGCCCCTCGATGTGGCCGGATTTACCCGGCCCTGCCACCGTGCCCGATGTTTGACTGAGAGCATGTGTGCATTCACCGACCGAGTCCTACTATTTTTTTTTATCTCATGATGAAAGGATCGGCAGCAAGTGTGCACATTCTCAACGGCTTCGAGGAAAGGATACTCGAGCAAAAACAAAGGAGAAAATGCTGGTTGCCGGGTCGTTACGTGCTGGGGCAAACATATACTACACGGAAAGGACCATTTCGAAAACCGCTTGAATACGATTTGTGGGGCTGGTTTTGATGGGTTCGAGGTGTTGTGCTACGTTCTCACTCCTTGGCGTGGTCCAGCGGTTGATTGGCGCTTTGGGGAGGGCGCACGTCAAGCACCGTGCACGTGTGATAACAGCGTTGTTACTCGTCAATGGTATGGCCATATATATGGGGGCGGTGTCAAGCGTTATGAAGCAAGCATGCCCAGGTTCACTCAACCAGACCAGGTTCCCGTTTGAACCAGCAAATTGATATAGCCGCGTCGTAGCCTAAGGATACGGTGCGCATGTCATGGTCTGTTGCAGGGGCGTTCACCTAGCCACATAGCGTCGTGTACACTGCGTGTAAACGTGCAGGCTATCTCTCTCGTAGTCTCGTACTACGTGCGGGTCTTTGTCGGCTGGCTAGCGGGCAGTCTAGCTCGGGTCGACACGGCACGAAAAGTCTGAGCTTCCACCGTCTAGGCTAGGCTAGGCCAACCAGGCTAACGAGCTCGTGCTGCGCGCGGGATGCACATTTGACCGGGAGCGCGCGCGCCAGGCCGTCCGTCGGTGCCGCGCGGGATGCACATTTGACCGGGAGCGCGCGCGCCAGGCCGTCCGTCGGTGCGTGTCAGCGTGCTCGGCCAGCGCGGGTGACGGACGATGAAGTTGGTCGGATCGATCCTGTGAGCGCGCGCACCGCACCGCACGCGTACGTACGTCGGCATGGCCTCCCGGTGGGCGGGCGGATCGTGGATCCATCCTGCCGCCCGTGCGGCGTTCGGCCTGACCTGGCCTCTTCACCGCCCAAAATTGCACTTTTCTCTTTATCTAAAATGCTTGTTTCTGTTTCACGCTGCATTTCGTGAAGTCTCGACTTTTTTTATTTTATGTTATGAGAAATGGAACGCAGCTGGATTTTGTGTCTGAAGATGCACGCAGCCGCAAGTAAAGTCACGAGGAGTCTGGTGAACAGTTGGGGAGGCGAGAGTGACGCCCCAACAGAGGGAGTTTTCTTCTTTCTTTTCTCGAAAAGATAAGACTCCAGCAGAGGCTGTCAGCCGGTGAAAGTTCCATGCATGCGTGACAAGAAACGGCAGCCAACTTTTCCCTCTTCTTCTCCTCGCCGTAATCGTGCCATCTTGTTTGACAAGAAGCTGTCGTTCCCAGCTGCAAGGAGCGTACGAAGCTGCCTTCCCAAGCCGGAAATCAGGCCGGCCACCCACGAGTGCTGCCACGGCGCTGCCGGGAAAGGGTGAGCCGGCGGCAAGATGGGAGAGAAATTGAAAGGCGCAGCGACGTGAAAGCGAGGCCTGATTAATCTGGACAGAAGTGCAACAGTTTTTTTCTCCTAGAGGTCGGTCTCTTCTTCACTCCTGTCAAAGAAAATTCGGCACCCGAAATTAGGTCGACGCGACGGTGACTCCATCTGTCGACCCAACTTGCTGGGGGAGGCAGGACAAAATAGGCCCCATGGATAGAGAGTTGTTTCGGTGAACGGAGCAGAGAGCGGCTCGTCACCTCAAAACGGGCATCATTGCTGAAAATATAGAGCTGGTTAGGGATGATTAGACGGCTGGTTTATGAAGTACTTATACCTGATAACGACTGGACTCAAGCCGCACCGTAGAGTATCGGAGCTCTTTCTACTAATCAAAGTACTCTCGAGTCTTTGACTCTTTCTACCAACCTTGAAAAAGGAGCCCGGGCACACATGATTTTCAGAGTTACAATTTTCTCCTCACTGTTGAGTTGTAACGTGTCAACCTCGTGTATATTTCTTGTATGACATGGTCTTGTTGTAACTACAGGAACTAGTCTCACGGTTAGCTAGCTAGTCCTTCGGCTCCATCTCATCCATATCCCTGCATGTAGGGATCGGTGGTAGCTTCCGTTGTATATATACTCCTTCCAGAGATTGAATACGAGGTGTGCTGTGTTTTCACAATCCTTCTTGGTATCAAAGCTTACGCTCCTCTCTCTCTCTTCATGCCGACCAACCCACGTTCTCCCCCTCCCGTTGACACTGAAGACGCCGGCGACACCGGTGACAGCCGTGACCTCTCGGCTGAGGGGTTGGCCGCTGCCGCTGCCACACCAAACGCTGCAGCCACTCCGGAGCGCCCTCGAGCAGCCCCCACTCCCGATCTCCCTTCCTCCGGTAGCCTAAGCCTCACCACGGCCCCACCCAACCCTCTTCCCCAAGGCCCCCTCTCGGCACCTCTTGCTGCCGCTCCCGCCGGCGGCCTTCCAGCCAGCGTCTCTCACATCGTGGACTTCAAGCTGGCCCTGGATGGGGTCAATTTCATCCGTTGGCGCAACTACTTCAACCTCTTCTTCGCCCGCTTCCACGCCGAGGATCACGTCCGCGACGGCACCGCCTCTCGCCTCTCCAACCCTGCATGGCGCGACGACGACAACACGATCGTCCTGTGGTTCTTCGCCACGATCGCCGGCGACCTCCTCGACATCGTCGCGCCGGCCGGCTCCACCGCCAATACCATCTGGAAGCGCCTTCATGAGTACTTCCTCGAGAATGAGGCGGAACTCGCCATGCACCTGGGACAGGAGTTCCGGGGCACCGTGCGCGGCGACCTCTCGATCAACGACTACTGCCGCAAGCTCCAAGGTATTGTCGCCGCCCTTGCTGTCGTCCGAGAGCCGGTCACGGACCGGACTCTCACTCTGCAGATGTTGGACGGCGTCGGCAAGAAATTCGAGCTTCAGGCGGCGATCCTTCAATCCATCATCCCCCTGCCGACCTTCGCTCAGGCCCGCTCGCGTCTGGTGCTTGCTAAACTCGCCATTGACAAGCGGGCTCGCACCGAGGGTGCGCAGGTGCTCGCTGTCCAGACCACCGAGGAGCGCGGCGGCGGGCGTGGCGGCGACCGCGGGGATCGCGGCGACCGCTCGGGTCCAGGGGCGGTGACCGCGGGCCCAACGGAGGTGCTGGCCGTGGCGGGTCACCCAACAGCAGCGGCAACCGGCCTGGCGGCCGCGGCGGACGCGGTCGTGGCCGTGGCCGTGGCCGCGGGGACGCCCCCAGCAGTGGAGGCCGTGGCTCGCAGCAGCCGTGGCTAGGGTACTTCGCTCCGGTTGGGATGCCCTTTCCCCCGCCGCGCGCCATGGATTCCTCCGAACTCCTCAAGCATACTCGGCCCCCGTCCGGGCGCCCCCGCCCATGCCTACCCGGTGGTTCAGCACTCCGCGCCGCCCGTTCCCTACTCCGGCACGCCGTACTCGCGGGACGCGACGACGATGTACCATGCTGCACCAAGCTATGGGGCGACCTTCCCTCCTCACGCCGACTGGATAATGGACACGGGCGCCTCATCCCATGTCACCGGGGACCCAGGTACCTTAACCGAGTCTCATCCTTTATTAGCGCCTCATTCTTGTCACATCATTGTTGGTAATGGGGCTCGTCTTCCCGTCACCGCCGTTGGTAGCACTCGCCTCCCTCCCCGGCCATTCTATCTCACTCACATTTTATTGTCCCCTAATATTGTGCAAAATCTTATCTCAGTCCGCAAATTTACTCGTGATAACTTGTGCTCCGTGGAATTTGATCCTCTTGGTTTTTCCGTGAAGGATCTTCGAACCAAGGTGGTCCTTCTGAGGTGCAATAGCTCCGGCGACCTCTATCGTTTCTTCGACGGCCGCGGTGACACTCCTCCGGTGGCATTCATCGCTACTTCATCGGACTTATGGCATAAACGGCTCGGTCATCCCGGCTCCTCTTCGCTAGCTTATTTTCCATTTGATGTTCCTTCCAAATGTAATAAAGTTCCACCGTCGTCGCTATGTACTGCTTGCCAATTGGGCAAACACACACGCCTCCCCTTCCCCACCTCCACTTCCTACACCACTGCGCCATTTCACCTTTTGCATTGTGACTTGTGGACCTCCCCCATTGTTAGTTTTTCGGGCTACAAATATTACCTTGTTATTTTGGATGATTACACTCATTATTCTTGGACTTTTCCCCTTCGTGCAAAGTCAGATACTTGTGTCACTCTCCAACAGTTCTTCTCCTTTCTTCTACTCACTTTAATGTTGTGGTGCGATGCTTGCAGTGTGACAATGGAGGTGAATTCCTCACCACTACCCTACGCGACTTCTTATCGTCTCATGGCATATCCTTTCGCCTCACATGCCCGCACACCTCACCCCAAAATGGCAAAGCAGAGCGACACATTCGCACAACCAATGATGTAATCCGCACACTTCTCTTCCAAGCGCACCTTCCTCCCCCGTTTTGGGTCGAAGCCCTCCACACTGCCACTAGCCTTCTCAACATACGACCATCCCGTGCCATCCACTACTTTACCCCACACTTCCTCCTCTACGGCGAAAACCCCACCTACGAGCACTTACGAACATTTGGATGCCTATGTTTCCCCAACCTTTCTGCCACAGCCGACCACAAACTTTCACCACGCTCAGCCCGCTGCATCTTCAGCGGTTACCCTCGTTAGCAGAAAGGGTACTGGTGTTTCGATCTCTCGTCGCGCAAAGTTATCGTTTCACGCC